TATTTCTTATCAAACCACAGAAGATGTCAAAAGAATTAGACCATTCTAAGACATGGCTATGTATGTACATCTGCTGTCTGTACAGCCTTTATTGGCAAAAGCAATAAGGGTGCTAAAAAGAGGAGGTGAGGGATGTGTTAGAGGGACTGCGAGTCAAGGATTTCCTATGTAATCTTTGATTTTTCACAGCCTTTAAAGAAATGCTGTGTGAGACTGAGTCTTTTAAGTTTTTATTTTAAAGTAGGATATTCATAACACAGCACTTGAATTAGCAATGTGTACAAAATTAGCAAGGAATGATTTCAGGATTTTTTTAATTTATATGTGTTAGTTTTAACTAGCAGTTTGTTTCCTAGCAAAAGAAACTGAAAGGCTGTTCAAAAACTTCCCACTAGATATTTACTGCCATCAGGGGAGCTACTCTTGAACATGGGTCTTTAGTCCTTCTGCAATACTCAAGCATTTCTACTCAACTGGATTTTGTAATGTAAAGTACAGAGCTTCAGTCTCCACAATGCATCATGTATCATAATGCCCACATCCAGAAACTGGCATTTTGACAGAATGATTTGAGTGTGCATAAATATGGAATATTTATCTTAATTCTACTTTTCAGTTTTACCCTTGTATTTTTTCAAATCAAGAATTTTACAAAGGATTTAAGAGTAACACTGTTTAACAACTCAATTTCTTTAAAAAGAGCCAAAGTACTTGTTTATTCTTTCCTTAAACTTTTTCTGTTCCTGTTAAAGGGAATCAGATGTTTAAAACAGATCAATGCAACACTATCTATTTTCTTCTGATTTCACCACCCATAAAATGAAACAGTCACTGATGGCTGTATACCACAAAAACATGACCTGCCTTTAACCTGCATGTAAGTCAAAAGATCCCCCATTTAACCCGCAGGAAAATGCTAACTTACAGATACTAGCATCCAGACAGTAGCCTCTGTTTTGAGGGCACTGAGCTATAGAATACCTCTAACACATTCATATAGGAACCAGTAACTTGCACTTTAAATAAACCTTCACAACAGCTAGTAAGCTAATTGGTTAGACACAGGAGAGTATCTTCTCAAAACAGAAATCTTAAAAGAAGTGTAATGCAAATTCTTCAGTGGAACGACACATTAAAAGAAGCACCAGAACACACAAAAATAAATCAGCTGTGGGTATTCTTGCCTATTGGTTTTACTTTTAAGGAAACAAATTTCATTTCATAATTATGATTCATTTGTATACATTCTTCCTTTCTTATGAAAACATCTTTATTAGGTAGAAATTAACCAAATGATCTTAAAATGACTTACAATACCATCATAATATAGCTGGCATGGTAAACAGTCAGTAAGTAAGCAGGGGTTTTTAGAACCTGCTCCTAGAGGCATGAACATCTTAATCATGAGAAAAACCATGAGTCAAAGCATCAATATCAGATACAAAAAAGAAAAAGAGCAACACTTTTAGGTTTATATGAAAATTCATAAAGCATATACATATTATTTTAAAACAAGAGACCTAGAACATTACTCTCCTTTTTGCAATTTTGCCTACACCTAAGGATGGATTTTGACCTGTTTTAGTCACAGCAGTGTTCAAAACAACTGCTTTCTTAAAAGCTGAGGAAGATGAGAAAAAAAAGCTGAAATTGAGGCATAACCTTTTTATTACATTCACTGAGTAAAAATAAGTTTCAACTCTTTTTACACCGTGCACTGACTGCTAGAAGCAGAATTACAGCAAGGAAATGTTCAATTAATGTTGTGTGTCTTTGTGGAGCACAGATTGCAACAGCTCCCTGAATAGAAGGGGATCACACAGAAGTAAAAATGAAGAGCGTAGCTTTTTTCAGTTTTCAAACCACTGTGTAATATGCCTCCAGTAAACTAGGAAGCAGCCTGTGATTGATGGCTGCTGTTGGAAAACTTGCTTTACTCTTTCAAAATCTACTTGATCTAAATATAACCAGGAATATTATTCCAACACAGTTTGCTTCATTTTAAGCCCTTTACTACTTTACAGGCAGCATCATTTAGACATTAAGTGTACAACTTCAGTGCTTGCACACTCTAAATCAGTGGTCTCCAAAGCAGGGTGCATACACAGTGGGGTGCAGGAAGAAAATACCAGTAATGCACTAGCCCATGTATATAATTTGTATTTAATATATATATATTGGGGATGCAAGCTCAATATTTTACTCATAGAAATCTTTAACTGATAGTAGTGCATCAAAAAAGTTTGTACACCACTCTTCTAAATGTATCAGTATGAATTCTTCTTTCCTAGTAGCTTCCCCTCTCCCCTTTTTTTCATTTCTTATTTGCTAGATTCCAATCTGAGACACCTCAAGAATCGGTGGTGTCAGATTCAAGTATCTGTCAATTTATGCCCTCATCCTTCTTATCAGGATATTCTTATAAATACCGAACTCTGCCAGAGAATTTACATGAGGTTGTTTTCTAGAATACTGTCTAAATGTGTACTACTGACAGGATGTGAGCTTCCTTCTCCTGTACTCTTAGTAAAATCTATATGAAAACGATCTCATAAACAACTTTTCATTATTTTTTAAACTATCTGACTTTCTATACTTCTCTTAGCATCATGGTGCTATATTAGGAGCACCAGTAAGTATAGATCCTGGCATGTGACACTGAGAACACACAAAACGTTTTAATAGGTCAGGCAAGAGAGCCCTGCCAAGCTCAGCCATGACAAGTGTAGTTGCTATTCCGTGAGAGAAACCAAGCCCAGTCACTTTCTGTATCCCTTCCCCTTGGGGTAAATTTCTCAGGCTCAAAACCCTGCCACAAGATGGCACTGGGAGCAGGAGGAGCCAGAAGAGTGAAGGTCTGGGTCCAAAGCGGGGACAGTAGTGCACCTGCCCAACAAAGAACCTGGTTCTGCCAGCAGCTGTTTATGGACCAGTAGTCCATAGGCTTTTTTAACACTAAGTCTGCTAATTTGCTCAGAGGCTAGCACTTTGGCTGCTAGTTCCCTATTTTTTTTTTTACCTGTCTCATAATACTTTATCTGTTTTAAATCAGCTAATACCATTAAGTAACCATTAGTTCCATTACTGAATTTGGTGTATTTTATTCTGTATTTACCTTATTTACTGTCATTAGAAACCTCAGTCACGATCCTGATAAGCATTTTGCTCCCCAAACTGAGGAGCCATTTAATCTCTTATATCAAGGAAGTTGCTTTCTCTCTGTTGTTTTAGTTGCCTTTCCTCATACACTCACCAACTTCACTCCTGAAGCGTCCTCAAGATGCCCACCAGAACTGCACTCTGATAATCAAGATGTAGGTTCACTATGATTATATATAGTAATAAAACAACACCTCCTGCCCTGTCTGTAACATTGGTTATGTCCAACTTTTTGTTGATTTAATTTTTGCCTGCTGCTGTGCAATGAAAGACATATTAGAGAACAGTCAGTGATGACGCCAGTATCTTTCCCAAGTTTTACAAAAGAATTACAAATTCAGGATTGCTCAGGTACAGTTGAAGATGTTTTTTGTCAGATGCATTAACTCCTATTATACCTGACACTCATCTACCATCGTTTTGCCCACTAATAACATTCTGTACGATGTTTCTGCAGTTCCTTGACACCTGTTATCTTCCCAATAAGTAAATGCTATGGATTACCATCCACAACTTGAGAAATTTTACTGTTTACTCTCATTCTGCAGGTCACAGGTAATCTACAGAATAAAACTTGACACAGCAACCAGCCTTCAAGGTACTTCACTTCTGACCTGTCTGTCCATCCTAACAAGCTAGGTTTTTTCTTGAAAATCCTCTCTGACAGGAGCATTGTCAGTGCAAAAGGACACAGTGAAGTCAGCTAGAAGTCTGGTTTCCACTTAGATACCAGTTCCCTTTTTCCTACTGGAAGTTCTCCTTCCCCCCGGATTTATGCTCTCCTTAGGAACAATTGTCACAGCGGAATTGGAACAGTTGTACAATATTCCTGCTGGCTCCATCTAAAAACCTCTCAACTAGCTCAACCATCTTAAGCCAAACTATCATCAAAGGCTCTTTTCACTAACTACACACTCACAGACATGATCCCAGGGCATCTTGAGACCTACACATGTCCTCTGCAATAAATTCAGTTCCATTCAGTTGCCAGACTTGTACCTGTATCCCCTGGTTAACATGGTACAACAAATTATAAACCTAGGGTAGTCTGACACTTGAACACAATGACTGGCAGGAATTTTACCAAATTACAGGTTTAATGTATCAGTTTTATATTTGAGATTAAAGAAATGAATAAGAACACTTAAGAGTTTTATTGCTGTATCACTGAAGCTTGTCCAGAGGGCCATCTGCATAAGTCCACAGGTCTGCTGACACTAACTTTCAGGATAGGATCTGCTACTGGCTCCCCACATCTTACAATGCTGACCAGTAATAGTAACCACTTGCAGTTGGCTACCAGGTCTTGCTGGCGATTTGCATGTCAAAAGACTTTTAACAGATATAAAAGCAACCTCTTCCCTGCAAATGTTCCATATCCCAGTCTCAGAAAGATTCACTTGCTTCTTGAAAATTCACTGATTTAGTGCAACTATTTTTTAAATTCAGATAATTAGGTATCTCCTAAAGTACTTAATCTCCAAATTGGACATTTCATTGAAAAATGTACTTTTCTAACCTACTCTTCCCAACATAAACACATTCTAGACCTTCTTCTCTATAAGTTGCCTCTAAAGACTCTGAAGTTTGCCATCAGCAAACTCTCTTATTCTCTTAATAGGACGTATCTGACTGGCAAATCTAATTTACCTAAAAACATACTCATTTCCTCAGTAACTTCTACAACTGTTCTGTGGAAATATAATGGAGACATGTAAAAACCACATCACGCTGGTTTTAATAGGCATGAGTCCGGCTAGTGCAATCGGGGGCAGGTGAGGGGGTGGGTCAGGGGTGGTGATGTACAAATATTTGTATGTACAAGTTACAGTATTGTGTACCTTCTGTCATTTCCATGCCACTAGGAGGTTTACAATGTCCAGCATGGCTCACAACCCAAACGGGATACTGCTGATTTAGTCCACAATATAAGGCCTGTATAAAGGTCCTGTAATAACCTGCCAGTCCAGGGTTACCTGCCAAAAAAGAAAACATACAAGCAGAGTCAATATTAAACTTCCAACAGCAAACAATTTGCTTCAAAGCTAACTAAACAGCATTATACAGCAATTCGTTAATTTATTTTCTGTAGTATGTTTCCAATTTTTATTTTCCCATTTTCCATTTCCCATTTTCAGCTATTCAACTGGTTTAATTCCATTGGTCAATGGCACCCATGAGAAGCATTTTACAGAATTACTTCGAAATTGCAGAACCTAGTATCAAAGCCCAACATAAAGAGTAAATCTCCTTTTCCACCAGAGGTCAGCCAACTCGCTTATCTATCCTATCATGTTATAGATATATGAAAATGGGGCAAACAAACCCTCAGATTTTATAAAAATATCACAAAGACTACAGCAAATATCACTCGATCCAGATGTCAACCTTTCAAAACAGGTATGTGGTATTCTGACAATGCAAAGGTCTGCAATGACCCTCAAAGTGAGGATGATTTTATTTTAAATTCATTGGACTAGATTTTTTTCTGCTTGAAACTTCATATACTTGCTGACCTTTTCCACACAGCTTGAGAAGCTCTTTCCTTTTCAACCCCTGAGCTCTAGATCCAGGGGAGAATCTGTCCTCCATCAGCTTTAGAGAGAACTTTTCAAAAGAGGCTGGTGTCTAAGTGAACCCAGCTTCCCCTGATACAGCAGATCACATTGCTCTAAATCCACTGTTTAACAGTGACATCATGTAGCACTGCTGAAGTGGAAACTGTAATGCTGTCGCAAAGATAAGAACATGCATAGGTAGGGATTTCAGCATTTCTGAACAAAATTCTAATCTCTACTCCTCCTTTTATACTTTCTTGCTTGGGTATCAGCAGTGACTTCAGTTGGAGAGTAAATTCATATGAAGAGGAAGCAGATTGTTTTCCAGTTCATACAGGATGCATAAAAATTCCACAAAGACATAAAAACATATAACTTCTCTCAATTTATTCATTTTCCAGAGTAGTTCCACTGATTTCTTTTATCGTTTAGACACCTGGAAAACTACCTATCATGGCTAGGTTTGTTCAGTTACATATTTTTCACGCGCATACTAGTCAATTCTTCATTTGGATACCATGAACAGCAAAAGGCATGTAAAAAGGCATCACGTAAAAAGACATTCACATTCCAAAAATAACACAAATATATTGCTTAAAAGGTATGAGAGAAAAAGACCTAAACAGTAAAATTGTGTAAACTCCTTTATATAAGTCCAATTGTAATCACAGAGGCTGAGCTGTGTAAGTATTGGTAGTGACAGAGAAGAAGAATCAGAGCTGTAATCAAGCCTGTACTTGTGGAAATTGTGTGGGGAGATATAAATTAGATTTGTTCCACTTCTCCTTTTCTGTAGTGGACGTTTTCATTTTGCCTTCTTTTACTTCAACCCTTTTGCTCTCCAGATAATACACAGTAAGTTCATTGCTCTCCCAAGAGGGAGAATCAAACATGTAAATATTCTCAGGATTCAGTCATCAGCTGAAGAGCAGTGAAGTAAGAACTGCTTATGAACAGTGAGACTTTGCATCCAATACTATACAAAGCTCAAGGCATTCATTACTTTATTGAGGGAAAGGGGATTTTTATCCTGTAATAAATATGATGTGTATTTTAAGCAGATAAAATTGAAATCTATAAATACAAAAGAAACCCCTTTCCCTGCTCTTTATAAGCATCTGCTCATAGTAAAAGCCATTCTGAGGGGTCAGCTGTTAGAGCTGCTACTGATACTTTAAAATGCCTTGAAGGGGTATGAATGAGAACTGCTGGCACAAATGGAAAGGAAAATCAATTGTTTTAACAGCAAGGATTTCTACAGAGATACCACCGTGTGTAAAGCAGCCATACATTTATTCTTTATTGGACTTTCAGTTTCAGAGTTATTCCAGATTCTCATTGACCTAAGTAAATGCAGATTAATAGTGCCTGCTCTTGAAAGCTTGCATCTACAGTACTTGTAAGTGAAGAATGTTTTATCTCCTAATATAGCTCTGCAAATTCAGACATTTTATGTGTTTCCACTTCAGTCGCTCACTTCAAAATACTTTAAGGGGAACAAAAAACTTAAACAGATAAAGATTTTCTTTCATACAACAGAGTTAGTGTAACTGAAAATGGAAATAACCAGGGCTTAATAAATACACCAGTCTGTGGCCAACAATATTTTGGGCTCATCTACTGCAGTTGAAATGCTGTTCAAGTAAACTATCTTATTTTATAGAAAAAGAACTACCAGGTTCATCATGAAGGCACCCAGTAGTGCTCATTTGGCATTCTAAGGACTTCCTAGTACATCAAACTAAAACTGCCCATGTTCTTTCATTCTTTTTGCAGTGTTAACCTCCATGATTTGAAAGTTGTTACTCCAGTTATTTGAATACCACATCAATCCTCAGACACCTCAGGGCACCTGAATCATTCAAGCATGCCAGCAAATCTCAAATTGCAGTCATCTGAACCAAAGAGCCCATCTTAAGCAGTTCCTCTCAACTGGGCTTAATTTTCCACAGTGTTTATGTTGTTTCAGAGCTCTTAAACAGTAGCTGCAAATGGTGACAGAACAGAAAGACACAAAACTACAACACACTGCATATTAGCTTAATTTGCAAAAGACTTCTAAGCATATCATGGGAAGAGTATGTCAAATGGACAACTTTCACAGTGACTTCAAATACAGCAGTGATGCTTTATTTGGTGTACTCACAAGTTTCAGTAACCAAAGCATGTAAAACTTGCAACACACAACATTTCAGTTATCCTACATTAAGCTCGGAGTATTTCCATTTTTAATTTGAAGATGAAGATCCACTTCTTCCTTTTCCAATCTGTCCCACCCACAGCTAAAGCAAAATGGTACAGAAAAACTGACTGGGCAGAGGAGTAACTCTGAGCTACACTGGGAGGCAAATATTCACCCCTTCTATATACTACAGATACAGGCTTTCGAGAACTGGAACTATTACTCTTTAATGATCCACATAGTTAAAAATAGGAAAATTTTCAAATACTTTCTTGTTAATGTTTTTCCATCAAAACGAGATTTTAAATTCCAACTGCTTCCTTACTATGAAGGCATCTAACAAAGGTGAGAAAACAATTCGTACAAACTAAATATCTGCCCAGGATATCACTATATTTATCCTCATTTCACATATTTCCTATGCAATGCATTATAAAGTCAAACTTGGCCTGTCTTAAAATTAAATACATACTAGTATTCGAGATGCTGCGTTTACAAAAAAGTTTAGGCTTGGGAAGTTTAAACTTACATGCAGTTCACTTCAGTTCTCTTAATTCTGAATGCAAAACAACAAATATATAATGCTCATTTAAAAAGTCACAGACCATAGCTACTCCCCAAAAGCTGTGACAATTTTTGTGGCTTTCAAATGGTCAAGCATTTTCAATTCTTCTGCAACAGAAATTATTAATGTAAGATATAAACTATAATTAAGAGAACACTATCATTAGATAACACTTTGCAAAAGTAATTCCCAGACTTACTGAGGAATGTACAATGAAAACCACAACAGCAAAATGCTTCAAGTTAGGAACAAAGATATACACCAAAACACGCAAGAAAAGCCTTCTGTCCAGAAAAGAGCAAGCTGAAAATACATACAGCTTACTCAAATGAAATTGAGACAAAAACAAATGAAAACAAAAATAAAACAAAACCAACTCTTAGCAGTTTGGGGAGGGGTATTTAAATTGAAAAGGATTTATTAAGGCAGTTTATAGCAAACACCAAAGAGTGGCAGGGAGTGAAGCTCAGGAGCATAAAGCTAAATCATCCCAAACAGCAATGCGGTTTCTTGCACCTTGTTTTGAAACAAGCTTTTGGGTTCTGTGCACTGTCCTGCAAGATGTTCCCCAGTGATTTCAGTTGTGTCTTCAGGAGTCTGACCATCCATGAGAGCAGTAGCTGGTATTCAGCTGTGGTGCTTCATGCACTTCTCTAGCAGTTGCTCTCTGCTCTCGGAGCTCAGCAGGACAATAAATAAAGGCACTACATGAACAGAAGAGGAATACACAGCCAACAGTGGGTTTACAGAGAACTTTTGAGGAACTGGAGAATATGCCAGCAATTACCATGAGTTTAATTTCAGAAGTAATACACAGTTTCAGAATTAAGCATGCATGCTGCAGTATTTACATGATAATCTCCTCCAATAAAACCAAATGCAGACTTTTATTTTTTAAAAACCCAAACAACTGAGCAGCCATAAATCAAATTTGAAATCCAAAGGCACAGAGCAGGACCGCACAAAAAAACATTTTTGTGGCAATGATTCTCACTGCCTCTTCGCAGAACTGCCAAAGCTTCCCGCTCCAGCTCGAGGAGCCCAAATGACATGTTCCTCGCTCAAGGAAACTTAATCTGCCTTTGGCATCCGACCAGTCACCATGGAAGAAGACGCAACTCCCCTATGTTAATGAATGGAAAGCAGCCCACACAGATGTCAAAAGGATTTAAATGGAGCATGTAAAAAACACAATGATGTTCTCACACTTGGGAGAAAACTGAAGAAAATGACACCATCGCTGATGATCAGGCCTTAAAAGGAAATACATGCAGGTTTCTCTGACATGCAGGGTTAAGGGATTTCAAATAAAACACGTTAAATAACATTTGAATTCTCATCGTAAACTCACAACAATTAAGCTTTGATCTGTTTGCATGTCTAGAGGACTAGCATTCTTTGTCCTGTACTCCATTTATAGTCCGTACACTAGAGGAGTAGCATCAGCCAAAGAACAATTACAAGAACATTATATAGAAACACATGTGAAAACTGTTTGATCCTCTCTGACTCTAGAATCATGGATTTGGCTGGAAAACACCTTCATATATTTCCTTGGGTTGTGAAAATAAGGAATCTCAGAAGGATTCAGCCAGGTGCCTGTAACATAGCTTATTAGAGGGGTTTTTCAAGAACATTTCACATTTTTTCCCCTATACTTTCCCATATACA